TTTCGATTCATAGTATCGGTAGTTGCACTGTGAACAGAGTATTGAGCAGTCGGTTACACTCAACTAGAACGTTAATTTATTGTTTCTGATTACAGCTGGAACCGATTCCGAATGATTCGCTTGCCAAGAAGCTAAAGAATGGTCCACTAAAGTCAATCATCGAGCTCTTTGCAAATCCGAAAGTGCGCAAACTAATCTTCACCTCCTACTTTATGTTCTGCGTAACCTCGCTCAGTTACTATGTGACGGGTAAGATCCTGAGATTAAAAGTATTACAAAAAACGAAAATAACCTTAATTCCAATGTTAATCCAATTATAGCTCTCAATGCCGCCAATCTCTCGGTCAGTCGCTATCTGTATATTATAGCCACTGGCGTTGTGGATATACCCTCGTATCTGGTGCCGGTCATTATGCTGCGGTATACGGGCCGTCGTATTACCACAATGTTCCTGTTCATGTGGACGGGCATATCGCTGCTGTTGGTGCTCGCGGTGCCCGCTGGCAGCACCACGTGGATCGTTGCGTTCGCCATGTTGGGACGCTTTGGCATCAGTGCCACCTACTCGGTTGTGACGCTCTACACAGCAGAACTGTATCCCACCGAAATACGTAACTCGGCGCTGGGCACCTGCTCGACATGGGCGCATGTCGGTTCCATTTCGGCACCCTATGTGGTCGATGTGCTGGGCGCATTAGGCTGGTACATTCCGACAACAATCTGCGGCTGCTGCGTTCTAGTAGCAGGCCTGCTAACGCTAACGCTGCCCGAAACGGGCACGGGCCACCTTTCCGATAAGGTTGAGGATGCGCCCGCCACCATCGAAGAGACCGAGAGCAAGCCTGAAAAGCAGTAAGATTGAGCCACAACCAAGCCGTGTAGGCTGGTCAATTGGTTCTACTAGTTAAGTTAGTATACGATCATCCATGCTACCTATGTATACGTATTCTACAATGTTACGATTGTAATACTACCAGTACTACTCTAGCCCTAAGTTTTCTATGCGTAATTGTTGTTATTTTTACTATTCCTTGCATTGTCGTAGCATATATATTCGTGAATGTTTTCTGTTTGATATAGTATAATTAATAAATTATATATATATATATATATATATATATATATATATATATGTAACGCCGTTAGTACTTCTGCACAAGTAGCTGGACCCAGTCGTAATAGGGTCGTGTCACCGTGTAGATGCTGGGCATTCCCTGAATGCCGCAGGTCAGCCCATGCGACACCAGTCCGTAAATGTATTCGCGTCCTCCGGTTCCATATTGACAAATAAGCGGACCACCAGAGTCGCCCTGACACGAGTCCTGATTGTGGCCCAATGCGCAGACCGTATTTGCTCCGTTTTTAGGTGCCCAAATGTGTCCAATAATATCGCGGCACTGCTGGTTGCCAATGACGCTCACCTCCGCCTCGAAGAGCTGCTTCTGGGATGGGCCAGCATGCCTGGTGGCGCCGTAACCAATTATTCTGCACGATTCTAAAATACGTTTAGGTGGATTCGAGGGATTAGTTATAATTAATCAGTTTGTTTACAAACCCTTGCTGTTGGGCTTCATGCCATATGGAGGCAGCTGAGCAAATTGCATGTCCACTCCCAATTGGCTTCTAAATGGGCGTTTCAAATGGAGCAGAGCGATATCATTGCGGTAGTTGGAACTGTGGTATTATGGGAATATTTTAATTAAATTTATTTCTATTTATTACACAACTTAGACAAGTAAAGTAATTTGTTAAATTTTAAATATTTTACGATTTCCAATTATTTACACTCACGGTTGAAAGTAAATGTATTCAGCGCTTTCCACACAATATGGTTTTAATTTTTCTACATTTTCAATATTTTCGTATCCGATAAAAGCCACAATCTTGTCAAGTTTTCTGCAAGCACAAGAGATTGACGTCAAGGTCATATCTTATAGATACGTATATACTAACTTTCTCCAGATACAGTGGGCAGCAGTCAGTATCCAGCGTTCACTTATTAAACTTCCACCGCAGAAATGCTGATAAATCCGCATTTGGGTGACGTTCCTGTTGATTCCATATCCGGTAAACACATCTTGCAATGACACCATATAAGGATACCTTGAAGTGCCATCTGCAATGTGATTGAATTTTCAGTAACTCTCTCAAATCAAACTTATTTTGAAATACTGCCCACGCTAGAAACGACGCGACCGCCAACAATGGGCACGGCACGACAATCCTTGAAAGATATAATTTTTATGAAAATTAATATCAGGAGACATGTTTGATAGCAACTGAAGCCAGCCCTCATGCTGGAACATTAACAAGATACTAAACTACGTCCGTCAGCATTCTTAATAGAGCAACAGTATTCGAATAAATAATAAGCAATAAAAGCGCAAACGCTCACATCGGGACAAGCTGTGTAAATAATTCAATGTGAATGCGTTTGTTGAATGTTTTGAAATCTCTGACTGCGAGCGTCATCGAACTTTTCTAGGAGAAGATTGGAATCTGAGTACTTTCCATTACTGTTAGGTGCTCTACACTTTATTAAAGTTATTTATTTAGCACATTTCTTAAAACAAGCAGTTGATTATTGTTGGATGCAGTTTGAGGTTATTTAGAAGAATTCAAATTTTATTGGACACCCAACAACGTTCAACAGACGATCTGGCATCGCTACATTACAAACGGCACACTTCAACGGCTGGCTATATTTTGGCAGCACAAAGTGCTGGTCACACAGATTTTGTCAAACAGCTGATTAGTTGTACGCGAAATCTGTGAATGGTCAGACGCCATTGTGTACACGTTACGTGCGTTGAGAATTGTAAGTGCAAATTATTCATTAATTTTAACAATCACTAATATAATATCTTCCCAAACTGAGTGTTAACAAGAAACTCTAATGCATTTACCTTGAGAACAAATGGTTGTGCATTTTGGAATGTTCAAATGCAACAATCATTACGTTTGATTTGTTGTTGCTGCTATTTATTGTTTTGTTTGTGAAAAATATGTGTGAGTCGCGTTTGTGATAATAATATTCTGATTTAAACAACATTAAAGGCTTATGTTTTGGTTATAATTAGTTATCAACAATCGTCTCACCACAAGGTGTCAAAGCGCTATGGGCTTAAACCTCGCCCTTAGGGAATTTTTACATTTGCCGTTTTTGTGCTGACAGAGACGAAGTGGGCTTTGAAAAATTGTTGTGTTTCGTTTGTTTGGGCAAAATGATCGCGACTAACCAAATGTATCGATCGCTGCAATGGGAGTTAATTAACGGGCTATGCAATCTTTACAGAAGAATAATGTCACAAGGCGGTGGCACCCCATCAGCTGGCAATCCAACCATCCTGCATGGCGGCAAGGTCTTCATTCAGCGCGATTACAGCGATGGCACCTCAGTGAAGTTCCATACAAGGCTGCCCCCGGAACTGGAGGGCATGGTAAGCAATCGTATACTCCATAAGGCATCTCACTAGCTGTTTTTCACTTGCAGATTGAACGTCATGTCTTCGAGGCGACCATCAACAGGCTTAACGAATTTTATGCCGAGGCGGAGGAGGGTTCGTGTAGCACCTACTGCGAGGGCTGCATAGGCTGTATTACAGCGTATTTGATATATATGTGCTCCGAGACTCATTACGAAAAGGTGTAGTGGAATTCTTTTGTAATTTGAATAATTGAACTCATTTTCTTATGTCATCCCATAGACGCTGCGCAAGATTTCCAAATTTGTTGCTTCCCAAAATGAACGCATTTACAATCCAAAGGGTCTGCAATTGATTGATCCAACATTTCGTGGTCTTCGCGTCATAGAAATTACCATATTTGATCGTCCAGGGCGAACGTGACTTCCGCTTTCGCATTCAGCAAATGAGTTCTTCATGTGAGACGTCAGAGATCCCGGCAACTAATCTGTTTAATCAATTAGCAACAATAACAAATCTGCAGCCATTTCGTGTGTTCCCCCAAAATTCCAAAACTGTGTCGCTAAAGCTTTATAAACATTTGAACATGTGCAAGAACGCAAGCCGCCTGAGCGTATGCTCATCGCTGTTCAATACTTACAAGGATGCAATCTTTAGGAAGTCAGCGCCTGTTTTTTTTTTATTTTAATTTTTTTGGAGCACGTGAATTAGTCATAAGTATGCTGTAATGATGTCACAGCGGCAGTCATAAGCGATATGTTTAACGCTATGTGTAGTTGTTAGCCAAGGCAGAGTTTACCCTTAACGTGTTAGTTAGTACGAGTATTTATGCGTGTGAGGCGCGTGTCTAGTTAAATAAGTGAAAAGCTACTGAAACTGCATTTGGGCTAAAAACCATAGTTACATACAGTTACTTATACATACAAACTCATACACACACACATACATTTTGCATATGTTATTGTTTTTACTAATTTGGCAAAGTTGTGCGATAATTTGTTAATTTAATTTAAAACGTAACGCAATTCATGATTGCGATTTTAACTTGATCTAAAACATTCTGCTTTAGTGCAAATACAAATGTATAATTGTAGCACATACTTACTAAACAAGAAAAAAATACAAACAATACCTTCAAATAGTTAAAATGCATAAAGTTTTATATACAATACAAATCTTTAACGATTTCAAATAGCGCCAAATGAACTTATAAATATACATATAACCAAGTGAAGAATTGTTCATTTTTAATAAAGATCTACAAAACTCAAATTTCTTAAAAATGTTATAAACAAATATGCGTGGCACGGCTTGTGCTTTAGCTTGTGCCTACTTATTTTTTTTTTAAGGTATTTACTTAGCCAACACGAGAACTTTTCGACAATAGTTTTGTTTTTGGTTTGAAAAGAAAGTTAACTGTTTATTGAAATCAAAACTATAAAATATGGTGCCAAAAATGTTTGATTGTGCTTAGTTTAAATAATAGTTCTAAAACTTTTTCAAAACTTTAAGTTTTTTTTTAAGAATTTATTTAGAATATATATATACATATATACGTAGTTGCCAAAAACTGAACATAAATTAATTTAAGTATTTTGCACAGTTTCAACAAAAAGGCAATTGGTGAATCCTTCGAGTCATATGTCATATGTATGCAAACAAACTTATTTCTGAATTATTTTGTGTTATATTTATATAATAAAAGCGCAGGCCAGGCTTAAAGGACTATTTATTTTTTTTTTGTATTTTTTTTTTACACATTGTTTTCATATATATTTATGTTCACGTATAGAATCTCCAAAGCGACATATGTATGTACTTAGTTATATCCGGTCTTTTTTCTCTGTTTCATAGAAAACATATAATATTTGATTTGTTATTATTTTCATCAGCAATCGGTCATCAGGACATTAATCACTTTACTTGCCCGCATCATTCATGTTTTTGGGTAAGCTGAGCAGCGAGTTTATCAGTTCCGAGTTTCGCTTTGGCATCCGCATATTCGGGTTAAGCGAGTTGTCTAGAAAGTAAGGATGCTTGCAGGGCGGACCCGGCGGTTGGACGGGCGCATATCGAACTGCGTTATTAATCCAGTCATACAGATCCCGATTATACTCCTTTTCCACGTAGCGCTCTTCGTCGGGCGAGGCCCGTGCGAAAGTACAGCAAATGCAGCCGGCCAGCGCCAGTAGAGCCAAAGTAAGAGCGTAACAAGTCATAGCCAGAGAAATCCAGGAGAGAGCAGAAACAGGACCAAAGCACTTGAAACCTAGGAATGAACTAATGCCAGTCGCTGGCACCACTTATATAGGGTCCGCGGAGCACGTTGGATAACTGGGCGGACGCTTAGGTAAATCACAGCAGGGAGCCAGACGCAAACCCAGTCGCAGTGTCCGTGTCAGTTTCAGGGCAAATATGTCAGGCGCAGGCAAATAAGCAACGTTCGCTGCCAGTCGCCCCATGGCTAATATTTGATTATGCAGCATTTTATGTGCGTGTCACAAATCCGAGGACAACAGCATCATCAGACAGACAAAAGCGTTGCGCTATTTGCTTGCACTGGATGTTCTGGTCTTGGACTGACAACAAGCTCGTATGTGGTCGTCGTTCGATTAATTTTAGACTATGAGCCATCAAATGAAATGCTACATTTAATATTCACATTCGCTTTTATGGCTGTTGCCAAAATCTATAACAGAAACGACGCACAGCAAATGCAAACACAGTTTTTTTTATAGGCATTTGGCAAAAATATAGCCCAAATATTTGTACAACAATGTGAACAGCCAATTCGACCTTGATGGGGTATTAAATTTGACTGAAAGTCGTTTAATCATTTTGCAGTTTCCTTATTAGCATTAGATTGCAAAAACGTTAACAATATATATTTATTTTGACTTTAACTAATTGGGTATATTAATTAGAGGGCTTGCAAGGTATCTGTTGCCTTTGTGTACTTTTAGTTTAAAGAAGCGATAGGCTTCAAGCAATATTTGAAAAATTTAATTATTATAAAGTTATTAAATGAATGTCCTGCCCAGGCTGTGACTAAAGTTTATGTTAAATTTAGATTATTTATATGCAATTCTTTTAAATAAATTTTATATTTAATAGCATATCTATGAGGATCGATATGTGTTATTTATTCACCACAAATCACAGGAAAGAAGCAACTTTTTTTTCGCACAGTGGAAAAAAACTAACAAACAAAGAAGTAGGCAAGACAAAAGAAAATATGTATTAATATTATTATCAAATACATCTGTGCAAATTTGCGAAAAATAGTTAAAGCCTGCGAATTTCTATAAAAGCAGAAGTATTGGACATATTTTATTAAGAGTTTCGGGGTATCAACGTTTGCAAATATATATATAAAATGAGAATCTTTGCAATATTATTGGGCTCCGCCGTGTTGGTCCTTTGCATGATCAAAGTCAGCGAGGCGGTCGTCTGTACGTCGCCTGGTGTGCCAACCGACTGCATTGATTGCACGGATGAGCTAAACGCAGATGACGCGGAGTGCTTGGCCATCACAACGACCACAACGGCGGCAACGTCAGAATCAGCGACAACAACAACAACGGAGGCAACATCAGGATCAGCGACAACAACAACAACAGCTGCAACAGCTACAACAGCTACAACAGTCCGTAGCAGACGTAACCCCAGGCGAAAGGTTGTCAGGGTGACCAATTTGCAGTACACGAATGTCCGTCGCATCAGGGTTAATCGCAATCGGGCACCAGCCGCGTCCTTCAAGAAGCGTCAAAATAATGCGCGTGTTGTGGTTGTGGGCTAAGGCCAATAAATATCTTGTTTCTGACTAATAAAAATTACATATTCAGAAAACATTATCCTTTACCTTTGAAAACTCACGCTGATAAAAGTTGCTAAGAAAGAGCAACAGAAGACTAGCTGTAAACTTGAAACTTTGTTTTAAAAAGAAAATACCCTGTACTCAAGTTTTTATTTATTTTTTTATTATTTATAATTATTACGAAAAAGCTTTAACACTCATTTTAAATCAATTATGGATAGTGGAGTGCCTTAGCAGGCCAAAGGACATCCGTTCAGGGTCCTCTGTGATGATTATAGACAGCATTATAGAGTACTCTTCTCTTCCTTTTATGAAGTGAACTATTTTTTTTTTAGTGTTATTTTAAATAAGTGCCAATCAGAAAACAAGAGTGTTCTATTATAGTTAAAGTCGCAATGAATTACGGCCTTAGGTGACCTCCTGGACGCCTTCTGCGCCGTGAGCTCCCTCGTGGGAGAAGGCCAAAGTGGCGCCTTTTGAGCCACCGAATCTGGCCAGGGATCTGGCCAAGCGATTGCTGTGAACCAACAGTCGATCGTTGTATCGGCTTGAGTGGAAGGTGATCTGGTCCTCGACAACCGCCAGATTCAAGTCTCTATGCAGAGTTGAGTTTCTGACATACCATGGACAATCCGTGATTTGGCGCAATTCCAATCTAGGGAATTGGGAATAGGGAATGCCGTACATCCATCTGGAGGTACACTGTACGCTTATTTTTGAGAGAAAGCTTGCTCTTCTTGTTCCTAAGCCAATATAGGCTGGCGATTTTGGTTCGGCAACTATTAACCACCGGCGTGATGTGGAGTCTGAAGGTTAGTCGCTGGTCCAAGAGCAATCCTAGATATTTTACTTTATTGCTTTGTGGGACGGTGTCGCCGCAGAGCTGCACAGCTGGAGGGGACACTTTTCCTCAGGGCGAAAGACAGGTTTTTAGAATTTTCAATGGTGTGATTTATTTTTGATTCAATTGCATTCTCTTACATATTTAATTACACAAATTAATAAAATTTCAATAAATTCCAGCAAACTTATAATATTGTTGAGGACTTCAAACGCAGAGTATTCGCATAGAGCGCGTTTGCGACGCGGCCCAACAATGTTTTCATTGTTTCAAAATCAACTCAAAATTAGTTTATTTACACAAAATGGGATGATTTCCAAGGAGAGTTTGGGTGAGTGCCAAAGGACAAAGGACAATTGAAGCGTACTTTAATTTCTGATTGTGTTTGTGTTCATACTTATTACCATATCGTTGGCATTTATAAAACTGCATAATCCCTGAAAACCAGTTGAGGGGGTTTTCAAGGTAAAGCAATTGAAAAAACGGATAAACAAGTTCCAAAGTTTGTTCATAAAGTTGTCTGGATTTTGATTCTCAAATGGCGCGACGGAATAGCTAGAAAAATAGTATTTCGTTTTTTTTTTCCTTTTTGTTTTTTTTTCAACTGTTTTGCTGCAGTTACACAAATAATGAGGTGCCTATAATTTACATTTAAGCATTAGCAATTAGTTGTAAACAATTACAAGTGTCACATATATGTATATATATTTGTAGTAGCATATATTTGTAGAATACGCTATATACTTGACCGCTTTATACACACATAAAGTAAGATTCTTTGCAACTTTGCTCTGAGAGAGAGAGAGAGAGAGATTGGGATACACAATAGTGCGCATATCTTTTAGTTAATATAAATAGTTAATCACTATTTGAATAGGTGCTAATAGAATATACTAACGATTTGCTTATCTGCCATTTAGATTTGAGTTGAATTCAAAAATTGACAAAATTGACGCCACGCAACGCATTTAATATGTGTTTATTTTTTGTCTCTACAATTAATTTTTCATTATTATTATTATTATTTTTCAATATTTAAACGTTGGTATGTATTAAGTTTACAATATTCTCATCCTGTGCTGTGCTCACAAATGACAAAGTACATACCATATTTATTTGAGTGTCTTTTGATTTTTGTATATATGTTAGATAGTTTAGCTAGTCTAGAAATATCATATAATATTGCTATAGTTTGTATTCTTCACAAGTTCTTTTTGTTTAACTAAACATATACGAGTAGGTTAATTGCGTGTTGCTATTTAACACACAAATTGTGCTTTACTATAGTTAATTGTTAATTTAGTGTAGATTGTATTTTAATTAGTTATGCCATCTAGATAGTAAAAGCTTTAACCACAACTTACCATAGGTCGAGTACAACACGTGTATGTAGATATCACATGCGGACTAGTTGTAATAGTTTTTGGGTACATTAACCTTGATAGCCAATATATGTTATATGTGTCATAGCCTCATTAAATTTCATGCTTAAACATACACAAGGTTACACATACTATAAATGTAAGTGTGAATGTATGTAAGTATATATGCTATATAGTTGGTATTTCATACTCTTGACTAGCACGGTTCGATTACGAGAAGAGAACTACTTAATATTGATAATCTATTTAGATATAGTGTTTGGTTTTAGCTGCGAGCGGAGTACAAACACCTAAGAGCTTACAGGTAAGATTCAGATTCCGATAGAGAGTTAGAGAGAAGGAGAGAGTATACCGAAAGGCATAACGCGCATGCGCTTTGACCTTTAGGACCTTAAATAGATCACATGATTTGACATTCACTTAGGTATAATATTGCAATTATCTCTGCTGTTTGGGTATGTTTGTGTCTGTGTGTGTGTGTGTGTGTGTGTGTGTGTGTTGTTCTCTACTTATAGGCATATACACGTAGAGTAACCAAAAAAGGTATTCATTCAACTTGAACTGCACATAAATTAGATACTATAGTAGTTAGTTAAGACAATGTCATTCAAGATGTTAAATGTAAGGATTGCTGGCTGGCATTTGTTGCTTAGCACACTGTCCAGCCAAGTTCAGGCAATTAGAAGTCGGTCAGCCCCCCTCCGCTTTTGTCAGTCTCACTGCCAGCCGCACTGGAGGGGGTCAGCAAACTCTAATTGGAGGGCTTTCGTCATAATAACGCGCACAGCTTGGAGCGTTTCTTGCTCTTGTCGACGGTGCCGGCAGACGATGTGGATGAGGATGCGGACATCCGCCCAACGCTGCCCAAATGCGGCTGAGATGGGCTCGTCGGACTCTTGTCGTCCATATCCTCGCTGACATGCGACTCGAGCAGCTTGAGCGATGTCTTCGGCTTGGAGCCATCCATGCTGTTGTAAAGCGTCTTTGATAGCTTGGAGCGCACTACTTTGCCCAGGGCGCCGGTCTTTTTGATGCTCAGCCTTGAGCCGCTGCGCTGATGCTCCGGCGTGTGGCTATCGTCGCCGCCATGCTGCGACTGCTGATTGCAATTGAGCGTGGTCACTGTGAACTCAATGTCCTTGATCTCCTCATCGGCACAGCCCGCAAACTCCTCCACTGGCTTGTCAATCGTATCATGGTCGATCCAGGTTAGGCCCATTTCCACCTTTTCAGCCAAGTCCTGCCAGTTGCGTCGATTCTCCAGCGTGCCCTCGTACAGCGGCGTTATCCATGGGAATGTGTCGCATAATACGCGATAGAGCGGCAAGCAAATGACATCAATGAAGCCCACCTGCATTTTGGGCAGCTCATCCTTGCGTTCCCTGTGCGTCACGTTACAAATATTCAGTTATATTATGCAACAATATTATTATTTATCGGTTTGCTTACCTGTCCATCATGGCCACTGGCTGCGTGTTCAGCTGCAGCTTCTCCAGATCGCCCTGGTCGAAGAACTCATCGGCCACCAGCTTGGCCACGCGATGTTGCACCTCCCAGGGCTTGGCTATGGCACTTACATCGCAGGCCGTCATCATCATGCCACACAGCACTAAAGGCAGATTCCAAAATATTACGTATACGCGACATGTGCCTCAAGTTGTAAGTACTTACAATCTTTCTTCTCCTCGCCCTGCCAGTCAAATTCGCCGTTTTCGACCAGTTCGAGAAATGCGTTACGCTTCTTAAAATACATTGCCAAATCGGTGGAAAGTATAGCGCTTTCCACAGTCTTCATAACAGAGCGATAGTCTTCGGTCGACAGCGCCTGTTGAAGGAAAGTAAATCCCATAGGAATATATATTGAGAAATATTTCATATATTTCGATTTGTCTTGACTGACTTAATGATTGCAATAACATTAAGGGAAAAACATTTCAGCGATAAATGTGACTGCATTATTCAGGTTCGAAAATTCGGGCCTGGCAAGATTTTTACCTGGCGAATAGAATGTTTTTGTTTGTTTTATTTATTTATTTATTAAGTGTAGAACCTGTACAATCATAATTTAGTACCTTAACATCACATGGATGAAGAATGTAATTTAGAACCGAATCCCACAACGCTGTATGATGATTTTAAAGGCGAATATAAATGGCAAGAAATTACACCAACGAAAGTTCTACAATAGAGAAATTATATAGCATACTTTCAGGAACAAATTACTTTCGGAAAAAAAAGTTAGATCTTCGAATTTTAGGAAATTTATTTGAAACAACTCGGGTATAATTTTCGTATAATGTCGATTGGCAATTAAAAAAATTAAATTCAATAAAAAATGTTCACCAAAATTGTCAAAATGTGTAATTCTTGATTCCAATCTATATTTCAAAGATTGGGCTTTATTCAAAGATTTTTTTTCATAAAAATATCCCGGGTAAGTAAAATTAAATATCTAAAATTTGATTAATATGATAAGAGTCGCAATTTTTTTATCATTAAATCTCCCATGAGTTCAAGGTTTACCAAAGCCGAGTAGGATAACACGCGCCACTCTCTGTATACACATATAAATATATATGATTATTACCTGGAATATATTGTTGCCCTCGGAGTTGAGTATCATAACACACTGATCGAAATGATGATGCTCCATGGTGCTGGTGGTATAGAGTATAGCCAATGGGGATTCGGTTTTGGTTTGGAATGCATTGTTGGTGCCGCGATGATCGAGATCGTGACACAAACAGGCCACCAGCAGGCCAAGTATCTCCAGATCGGTCATAAAACGTTCCATTTTGCCCGTCTTAAGCATGGCGAACATTGTCTGAGCCACGTTTAGAGCATGTCGCCAATTGTGATACTTGACGGGACGATAATTTTTGCGTACGCTCAGCACCCAGCGACAGAGCACCTGGAAGGGAATGCAATGTTGGCAATGGTTGGCTGTCAGAACTGTGCAGCAGCACCTTGATGGCAATGACACTTACATCGTAGGGTATGTGGAACTGTGAGACTAGGTTGCATTGCATAAACATGCGCAGCACTGCGCGACAAGTGTCGTCATCGACCAGATCGAAGTCTGGATGGGATTGATAAGAGAGCATGTGCAAAGATCTGGTGGCATTTTGGACACTTACCCGTGAAGGTGAAGCTGTACAAATTGTACGTCTCGGCCTCGGCAATGGGATCCTGTATGAGCTTCTCCGTCTGATCCTGACCGGCCGTGGCATGATAGCTGAGGCACTCCAGCGCCACCTTCTGCTTGGCCATCAGCTTGCAGGCGTTCTCGTACATCTGTGTGTTGTGTATGCCCAGTCCGCAGAATATGGCAAACGCCTCAAATATGGAGGCATCCGATTCGGTGAAGGGCAAACCGCTCGCCTGCACAGAAACAGCAGCCCATCAGCAGGTACTGTGCTGAAGATTAGACATGAGAATCTAGCTACCCACCTTGTTTATCAATTGTGCCACGCCTATGACCGTCTTCTGGGCATTCACAATGGGCATACAGAGTATGGCATGTGTGCTATCGATCTCTCCCTCAGCGCGGATTTGATTGTGCTCCCTCACCCAATCGTGGACATCGCAAATGTTCACCGTTTGTCCGGTGGTGGCCACAAATTGTGCGATCTGCGCCAGCGTCGAGTGGCTCAGATCATTGATGGAGGGCCTGGATACGTTCGCTGCCTGAGATTCGCCACCCAGCTCGAAAAGAACTGTGAAACGATTGCGCATCTTTTGCTGCAAGCGACAAGGATAAGGATAATGGATTGAAGGCTTACGCACGCACATATGATATGGGATATGTGAAATTTGAAAGGACGAACAACCTTAATGCTCACCTTTTCCTCGAAGCTGTCGCCGCTTTGAATGGCACGCGTGGCGCGCAGCTCCAGCTGATGAGGCTTCTCGATTATCTTCTCCAAATGGCTCTGCAAAAAAGGGCATGTGCAAGGTACATGGACATTAAGTGGCTGCCACTAATGGAGCAACAGCCGCTCCCCGTGCAGCCGCTGATAAATTGCCTTTGCCTACACTGGGACAACATCGAGGCAGCACTCAACGTTTTTTTTTGCCTGCCACCGCGTTGCACATCATTTAACGGATATGCTGCACATGACTTGGCATATTTTTAACAACTTTTTCCCGAGCTACCTTTACTGAAGTGGCCAGGCATAATTTGCATACATCTACATATATACACATATATAATATATATATGTATTTACGTTATCGGACACGAGTTAATTGGCAATTTGTGGGGTAATCGCATTTGAATGCAGACCCCAATGAATAAGCAATCATCAGCAATCAGCATTTAATTTAGCTGCACAAAGTGCCATAAATATAGTTTGACAAAAACAAAAAGTAACATTGCTTGCCCCAAATGGAATAACATATAATATGCAATATATCTAATTAAAAACAATATTATCATAATTAATACGCTCGACTCAGTTACCCAAATTAATTACATTTTTCACTCTGTTCGAGCTGTTCAGCTTATAAATTACAATTATCATAACATGTTATGCATATTTAAGATATTTATATATATTTTGTTTTATATGTATCTTGAGTGCAAAAGAAAGTTTTCCAAGTATTTATGGGATATTTCTAAATATCACGCAATTTATTCAAAAGTTTAAGTCGTCTTTTTAAGTAGTATTTCGTGTAAGTAGCTCGGCAGGAATGAAAATAATTTTCGTGTGCTTTTCCGAAAACCTATGTATCCATGTATTTACGTTTTCTTTCTATATATTTTATAGATACTTGCATTGCAATAAAAATGCACTTTTATTTGAAATCTTCACATTCTCTACCAAAATTTGTACATTATTCTTAGCAAGAAATCACTTTAGAAAATGTTTCCAATTATTTATACATAAAATAAACAATTATCTAAAATTAGTCTATGCCATTCAATTTGTAAAGAAGCGAATACAAAATAAAATCTAAAAAGTCTGCTTTGCTCATTTCTCTGCAATTAAATTTCAAATTGAGTTCAAACTGTTCCGCATAAGGCAGAAATAATCTTACAAGCTATTTAATAAATATAGCTAATTATGAAAATAGACTGAATAGATTGTTAAGTGTTTAATTGCTTTGATATTTTCTTTATAAAGAGGCACACTTAAGAGCACGCCCATTCACTATGACTTGCACGTTCATGCCCTTCTCATTCTAAGTTCTTCTCTGTCTTTTAGTATTGTTAGTGAACACTTAACTCTGAATACTAAACTGAACGTTACACAACACACTGGGGCCATGCTCGGCAGGGACATTCTTCTTTGTCTCACTGCTTTCAGCAGGATCCCTAATACTAGTAGGACAGAAATCTTGAATAACAGTAGCTTCTGTCAATTTCTCTTTTTATTACTAACACTTAATCATTAACATTTAAAAATAATAATCACAATAATTAATATGATATACGACATATACATATATACATATATATATATATATATATATATATATATCGCAGACAAAACCTAAGCAAAACTGATTACTGAGACGCGCATATAAAACATTTATTTTGGCTGTTCATTTGAACAAATGTTTTGTTTCTGCTAATGGGTTGAGTCAACAACGGGCCAGGTGGTTTATTTGGGTGTCATGCACTTAACACAGACTGTCGGAACTAGAGGCCAGAAGAGGAATGCTGGCAGATTAAGCGCTTGTTCGGGCCTAACATAATGAACGGAGGAAGAAAAGGCAGTGGGACGCGTTGCTTAGTAGCTCAATGGGAATTGCCTGGTCTTGGCTTAATTTACCTTTGGAAGTTAGTTAGCTTCCGGCTTGGTGGATGAAAAAAATATTACATACACACACAAAAAGAAAAAGAAAAGAAAAATTGTAATATAAATTGGACATCTTAATTTCCTTGGGGTGCGCTCACAGTTAACTTGACAAACCGACGGGCAGACAAACAGACAGACAGAAAGACAAAATGGACGCGTTGGTGTTTAAGCCATTTTAATTTTAATGAAACTGACAGCGACACAGCCACGACCACAGTCGTGCCAACCAGCCACGCCCCAAATGTGTGGGCGGACAGCGAAAAACATTTCATTGCAGCCATGTGCCATGTACTTGGAAAAGCAGGCCAACAATGTGGCGGCAGCAGCAACAACATTCGGCGCCAAATAACGTTTGAATTCATTAGCAGTTGACGGCATTCGCAGGCGGCGGGCTGCGAGCAGCAGCTGTGGCTATTATGGCATCATTAGGCATTTACTCACCTCCTCGCAGCAGTCCAGATCGACCAGGAATACCGAGCATCGTTCACATTTGAGCAGTTCGCGGGCCTCGGTCATGATTTTGGTGACAAGGCACTCGAGATTGTTCTGCTCCTCGAAGATGCTGCGCGCCAGATTCAAAAGGATTTGATTGCGTCTATACTCCTGGACGGACATTTCGAAAAGCTGTGCATTCTGTATGCCAATGCCGCAGAATGTTAAATATCTGCGAAATATTTCCACATCGTGCTCATCGAATTCCATGCAGCCTGCAGGATAACATTTGTCAAAATCTCGAATGTAACAAGTGAGCCAATTTATGGGCATTGCAATTGGGATTGGGATTGGGATTGGGATTCTATTTACCATTCGTTTTATTGATGATTTGTGCCACGCCTATAATGTCGCCCTCGTAATTGCAAATGGGCATGCAGAGTATGGCGTTCGTTTTGTAGCCGGTCTTTAGATCGATTTCGCAATTGAAGCGCGCATCCATGTAGGCCTCCTTGATGTTAATCATCTCCTTTGTCTGCGCCACCATGCCAGCGATGCCAATGCCAAACGGTATAATAATCTCCTCGGCTCGCGCCCGTGTCACCGCATCCTTGAGAGCTATAAAAGCGAGTAGATGGGAGAGGGGCAGGGGCAGGGGCAGGGCGCATAAATCATTAAAAGGCAACGCCAACGCACACATAGCTAAATAAATATTAAATTTATAGACAAAATATTCAGTCTGCCACGCGAAAGATACATCAGCCGTGGCTGAAAGCAACAAATGCCAGTCCGGAATCCAGGCCAAAGGCGCTAAAAGTCAAATGTTGCTCGGGCTTTTGGTTCAGGGACTCGCAGCTCGTGAGTCCCAGCTGAATTTGCATGGCCAATTCACATGTGTAGCTGTACTCGTGTGTGGGTGTGCAGGGTGTGCGGGGTGTGCGGGGTGTGTGTGCCAAAAAGTAAACCTTGGTTATGCTCTAGCTCTAATCTTTTTTTTGTCTTGCCCCCAAACGTTTGCCATCTGAATTATGTAGCGGAAGAGGCGGCTTTAACGCACGAAACACACACCGAGATTCATTGCAAATAAATGTGTTTGTTTGTGTGTGTATGTGTGTTTACCTCTCCCTCTGTCTCCCTGTCTCTCCCCGCTTTCGCTCACTGCCAGTCTGTTTGCCTGAACACGTTTTAGCCAGCATCTATTTTTCATTTGATAGCAACCTTTTGAGTTTTATGGTCTGGCCTGCCAAAAACTTTTAATGCCCGCTTCCGCTTAGGCTTAATTTGCTAATGCGTTTCCCGCCTCCATCGTCCAACCGAACCCCAGCCGCTAATGAGCGCCAATTTGTGAGGGTTAAGTAGTCGACAATTTGCACTGGAACTTGCCTAATGCAAGTATATATTTTCAATCAGTTAAGAGTTCGGCAACAATAATTTAAATTATTTTACTTAAATAAATAAAAGCACATTTTTTGAAATTCAATTTTTAATAAAATAAAAAAAATGCCATTATCTTGTATCTCAGCACAGCTAGGAGCTCGTGGCTTAAGCTGTATAATCTCATAAGTCCGTCAAGTCTAAATTTAGCAAAGAAAAATTTATTTTAAAATGTAGGCTGATATTCTACAGGGTTTTCCATTTACATTCAGCATTGAAAGATTCGGAATTGAAGTTAAAAATGATTATTTCGGCTTATACGAGGGTTGGCCTTCATATCTTTCTATCTTCGGTCGAATAGTGAAGGTACTCAATAAGTCAATTTTCAATAAAAAATTATTCATTTAAATTTAAATTTAAATTACATTTTTTTTGCCTCATATAATGTTTTGATGTTATGATAAACAATTTAAGCTAAAATCAAACGAAACTTTAAACCTTTGGCATAGTTGAGGCCAGAAATACAGAGCGCAACTCTCACATTTAAGATTTGAGTTTATATTTTCCTTAAAACTCAGCACTAGTTATTCAGTTGACAATCATTTCAATTTATTTCTAAAAAATGTACTTCATTTTGAGGTCTTTGTTAAATAACAGGCATTATTATGCTCAGGCATTATTCTCCCCAATCCGGAATCACTTTGCATCCTGCTGCATACCCTTAGCTCTGAACACAGCTGCATTCAATTCAGCATTCGATTGTTAGTTGGGATCTTTTTGTGCAGCGCGTACTTAATTAAAGCGGACTACCATTTGGCTCATTCTCCATTTGCAGTGCATTCAGTTTTGCCATTCGCTCGTTGCCTGGCAACATTTGGACAATGGCTGGAAATCGAAAATTCGTATTGGCATTTGGTGCTCACCTGTCTTTTGTGTGACGTCAAACAGTTTGGCCACCAGATACTTGTTGTTGGGCGTGCCCTTGGCCAGAAAGAGGGATCCCCGATCCGCATGGGTCAGCAGGCCGACATTCACTAATATCTTGTGGCAGAGCACATCAATGTCCAGCTCATTGGCCACGTCGCGTATCAGCTCCATGAAGAGCTCACCCTCGTCCAGTTCCATCAAATGGCGTCGACTTTCGGGCAGCGCATGCACCGATGAATTGGAAAGCTTGCGCGGTGACTTCTGCATGGAAAGGGAAGGGAAGACCAAGCACATGGACAATAAATGTTAATGAATGGCTTAAATTGTGTACTACAATCATAAACAGGACGAAGCGCACTTGAGCTTCCATTCGCCCTGCTCCTGCTCCTGAAATAATTGAATTCTGTGGCCGTGGGCGGCATTTAATTAACTGCTGTAATTGCTCTGCCACTCAGCTTTGATATTAATAGAACGATAAGCGGGCATTATTGTAGGCGTCTTCAACTATATGTATTATGCAAATGTACACACATTATTTTCAATATTGCGGCACACGTGTACTTCCAGCCAAATTCAATACTTGAATTCCAGAGCACTTAACCCATGCGACTTGTCATCTGGCCCGCGTTCGATTCGAAATGAAACTGAACCCGCCCCGGTCAAAGGTGACCATTAGCAGTTTGCTTTAAGAGGCCGGCTCCTCCAAGCTGGTAATTGAATATAAAATGCCCTTTCGGCTGCGTGCGAGGGGCCAATTACGAGGGCACCTCCAGCCTGGGAACTTTGCGTGCTGCGCGCCTATCCACCACGACCGGGCTTTGCCTTCAATTTAGCCTTTGTATCTGCCTTCAGCTTTGTGGACAGCCACCAACACCCCTTTTCCCCACCCCACGGACCCTTCTAACTATGTTGTGGGACAATTTTGCCAAATTAAGGCAATTTGTTATTGTATTTTTATTATTTCTTTCGCTTTTGTTGTTGTTGCTGTTGCTGTTTTATTTCCAGTCGTACAGAAGCAGGCTTCGTGTCGTGCACAAAAATATCGATAATTATATGTTTAAAAATAAATGTCTAATGACACAGAAGTTATTTTATTGGAAGGACAGCAACAGCTCAAGAAATGTATTCACATTTTCCTGATTATGATCAATTTATGATAATAATAACACAGAGCTCAATGTTTTGAACGCGTTTGATGAACCCGGTTCTTTAATATATATTTGCGACCCTTAAGACCAAAATGAATTATTTACAAATATTTCGTACGCTTTTTTAATGTACAAATCTCAGCGAACTTCAAGAAATTTTACACTAACATAATGCGAATAGATAGAGCAACAATAACGCAATTTGTACATTAAAATTTTAATAATTTAAAAATTATTTGATTTGTTAACATAAAAAATGGTAAATGTAAGTTGACAACATTTAGAACTACAAAAAATATGAAAGGATACCTATAATATAACGATTTCAGAAAACCCATTTTTCTATATTTTCTAAAAAAAGGGGGTCGCAATTGTTTCAAATTTGGTTATATTATATTGATTATATTCAAATCAGAAACTCGTAACTTTTTACACGTTTGGTTCTTGGTTTAAAGCCGCCCACCAATTTCTTTAAACTTATAGATAGCACAACCTAAACAACTTCTGCGTGTGCTGCATGTTTTGATTCTATGTTGACCGTATAATAAAAAAACATTTTTGAATTATCATAAAAATATTCTTGCGGCTTAATGGATATTATAAATATAGCAGCCAATTAAATTGTTCGTATTAAAAGGCTGCCCTCAGTCTTCCTTCTCGCTTCCCTATGTCCCTATGCCTTTGTCCCATTTTATTTTGGCCTAATTAAATTTCCAACAATAGCATTTGAAGAAATTATTATTATTTTAGTTCATGCTTTTGCTTTAAAAACAATTAAATATAAAATCGTTGAAAATCCATTAAATACAATTGTTTTAAATGGCCCATAAACTGCAGGCTAAACAGGCTTAACAGTCTCATAAATAATTAAATAAACAGAGAAGTAAACAATTATTGAAATACAATAAATAAATTTTTTAAGGCTTGTTTGCTAGAACAGAGTTCACTTACAAGCATTTTAGTTATATTTTTTTTTTGAAATAAAGTAATTAAAATGTTTACCTGCAAAGTCGCTCTTTGCAATCTAAAATAAATACAACACTTTCAAGAAAGACCGGACATTTTCTGTTCGCCGAAAACTAAATACCCTTGTGGACATGTGGCTTATAAATGCTTTTATGAGATTGTTCCTGTAGTAGTCCGATTTGATACGGTTATATTGTGAGAAGGCGTGGTTGGTCAAAATATCTTGAAAACATAAGTTTTTCAAACGATTCTTCGTATCGAGCTATATAATATGGTAGCAACACGTTGATAAGATTTGGCTCCATGTAAGAAGAATGTTGAGACTAGAAAATGTCAAGTTCTGTCAAGATATTTTAAAAACAAGTTGTCTATATCGAGTCGAGAATATATATAGTTGATGGTGTCGGAAACGTCCCTCTCCATGCGCTACACAATTCGTGACAAACTACGAATACCCTCGACAAGAGTATAAAAATACAGAAGCCAAGGTAACTAAACGTCTAAGTAGTTTTATTAACTACAACAGAGACTAGAGAGAAGCGAGAAGTGGGGACAAACTACGTTTGCTTTTGTCTCTCTACCTCTTCTGCTTCAAGGACCCTTTTAAATAATCAAACCGAAACGAGTGGCTCTGAACTTTTCCAGCAGTAAAAACAACAATAATAACAACAACAATAACAAAAAAAAAACATTCTGTGCTTTGGCACAACAATAAAAACTACATGCAAACCCGACAAACTTTTTAAAACCTTGCCGGAGATAAATACAAATGAAAACAGAAACAAAAAGAAAAAAAAAAAAAGGAAGCAAACATAAAGCCAAACGACTTTTAATGGAATTTTACTTTGGCACGACTGCAAATTAAACGAGATTCCCGGTTTGATGCCCCCTGCAGAACGGCAGCTGATGAAATTGGCGGCCAGAGTCCTCGTTAAGTCAGTCAATAAGGCAACAATAAAACAGCTGTCGACTGTCAACCGTCGCTTGCATTATGTAACATGCACTTAAACAAATTGACAACGCGACGCAACACCTGCAACCAACCAGGTGGGGGCAGCAGATTTTTAAGCTGCAACTGTTGCAATTGTGTGTGGCAGCAAGCCACTCGCTTAAGTTGGCAATAATTTAAAAAATTTTACTTCTTTCGAACCCGTAAAACACTTGCCAGTTAAGCCAGACGTTGGCCGCTTTTTCTTTTTTCATGTGCCAGCAGAGTTGTTCACACGCACACACACACACACACATGCATACACATCCTCTGAGTCCTTGAGTGTCGCTCGCATTTAGCTTGATTTTGCAAGTGCAAGGTAAGTGTTTGGCTGTGTGTGCGTGTGTCATGGCTGAAGTACTCTATTGTTGTGTGCGTGAGTATGTGCATATCCCGGCAAAAGCTAAGTCCGACCAGACCATATCATATCAGATCCAAGCAGTCGAACGTAGTCACTAGCCACTCCAGCCGAAATAAGTGTGCTTATCATACGCTGCCCAAATCGGAAATTCGGAAATTCCACCCCATCTCAGCGGAAAATGGTAGGCAAAGCTTTTAAGTGTGAAATTCTAAGTTTCGTTCGATCTTCCACTGACTCTTGCATGAAAAGTGCGAGTTAAGGGTTTAACGAACGGCCGGAAAACATTGATTTCAACTTTTAGGAATAAATTCAAATTCGGTCGGCAAACGCAAGCTAGCTTAAAATAAAATAGATAAATTTGAAAATTGTTTAGGAATTTGGGCTACTTAAGGTCTGGAACGCTTTTAACACTAACACTTTAGTGCTTTTAACACTAACGAGCATTTGGTAACATATAAAATTTGGTATACATTTTCGTGAAAAGCAAACACCAAATTACATTTGGCACGTGTTGTTTAATCAGCGTTTATTTGCCGCAGCTGTGTTTCTTAGCAAATGAAAAAAAGTAAATAAATAGCAAAATAAAGATGACCGATATTTATTAAAACTTGCATGCACAAGCTTGATAAGGTTAAAGCTTAAATCAGTTTCTTTCTGTAAAATATAATGAATCGTAAGAAAAGCGCGTTGTTTTCTTAATAACAGGACAGCAAGCGTTCACTATATTATATTATTGTTGATCTTTATTATTATTTAAATATGATCAATATTAATATTCGATTTACACATTTAATGTATTTCAATTTAATCAAGTTTATTCTACATTTTTGGTATTGTATTTGCAACAGATGGTAGCAAAAGGCAGCTATATTTCTATTCAGAGAGGAACATTCACATCAACTTGAACATTCACAACAAACGCATGTTTACTTAGTTTTTATAAATTGTTATTGTTTTTTGTTATTTTTTCTTTTGACAACTTTCTAAAGTTGTGCCTAGATATATGTTTATGTTAGAAGCATTTGTTTAAATATCCATTGAAACCCAGTAACAAAAGGCACAACATTATTATCTATAGTTAATTGCCATAATAGCTGTGGAGAGCTAAAAATGCTAGCACCCACTTTTGAAGAATATAAAAAGTTTTTAACAATGATTTTGTATCACTAATAGGGTTTTTGCACGGCGAGTCTTGAAATAAGTTTTAAGCTCTATTTAAGAGTTCAAGCTAAACAACAAAGATCCGATGTGTATTTTATATATAAGCCAATAAGGAAGCAATAAGTTCACTTAAACCTAGAATAAGGTGCTTATACCTTTTTTCTCTCTTGGCAATTGTATAAAGCATTACCAATGTGCCAGAACCTTTCGACTATAATTAAGTAATTAATTCCTTAGCCGCAGCAGCAAAACATTGATTTTATTGTCACCCATCTTAAGCTTCGCAGTCTATCCGTGCAGGCATCCTACTTACATACATGGTTCGCAATACAATAACCTAAAATTATCTTATTTTTCTATATTCTTTCTCTGTTAACTTCATATTCTCTTTCCATTTCTGTATTTTATAAAATTTAATATTGATTTTTTCAAAGAGAATAATAACAAATGAAATCAACAAACATAAATCAAGGGAGTGTGTACATATTACATGCCCACTGGCTCTACAATTGAATTCGTGGATCCACAGGACAAAACCATCGACACATTTGCAGATGACACAGACATCTTATCAAGAAATGAATGTGTTTACGAAGCTATTGACGTCCTGCAGCAATATCTCCACAAATTTGAAATG